GAAGTGTCTCTGGATGTCTGAGGTAGGAATTCTCCTAACCCCTCGGGCCCCAAGACTCGGGGCCCTGTCCCCCTCACCAAAAGTTAGAAACCTGAAGGGAGGGGGGAGGCAGAGCAGGACTCCTAGAGATCGGCTTCCTGGGGATGGCAATCACCTCTCCGCGCCTACCTGCCCCTCTGCCTAGCTCCTAGTTTCTGGACTTCCTTTTCTGGGGCTGCAGTCACCAAGTTAGTCCTCCCAACAGCACAACGAGGTCAGTACCATTTCACAGACTGGGCAGCAGGAACAGAGGCAAGCTCAGGACCAAAGTTCAGGACCGGTGGGAGGCCTACACTAGACTGCCTGCGCCCTCGGGCTGCCGCTTCCAGGGCCAGGCCATCGCCACCAGCGCAAGGCTTGGGAGGCTCAGCACCCTGTCTAAGGCTGCGCAGCGACAAGGCTGCGCAGCGACAAGGGAATTGCGGGGGCCAGTCTGCCTTGGGGCAGAGACTCAGTCACCGCTAGTGACTGCTTCTACCGAGTCCAAGTACTCCAGTGCCCTGGGAGAGGAGCTAGAGGGCTCTCAGGATTCAGGAGCCAGAAGCCCCTGGCACTAAAGACACTCTCCCCCCCACACCCCTGGGGCCCCCGAGGGTCAGGGAGGGTCAGTGCCAGCAAGCGCACACACAGGTGCGGGCAGCCAGGAGCCCACTCTGAGGCCACTGCCTCCCAAGCCACTGGGTGAAAGATGCCTTTATGGGCCGGGATGAGGTTTTTATCTTGGCGGTTTCTCTTTAAATTCTTTACGATTATAAAGCAGTGGGGGCTGCCAAGGAACATGATTTACTCCTTGAGCATGCACCAGCTCCCTGCTCAGTGCCAAGGGAAGCTGGAGCCAGGGAGGGAGGGGCGGGCATTGTGCCAGGGAACCAGAGACAAGGCCTGTGCGACTGAGGCCCAGCCAGCGGTGGTCCCATCCAGAGCGTGGCTGGACCCAGAGCCAGAGCCAAGGACCCTAGGCCCTGGCCTCAGTGACTCCAGCTAGGCCTTGGGCAGGTCCTTGGCAAGCAAAAGGACCTGTCCTACTTTCTTCAAGGGCCAGTTCCTGGTCACCCAGGGGACGGCCAGCCGGCCAGCCCCCAGGACCTCCCAGGTCCCAAAGTGGCCACTCCAAGTCCCCTCTCAGAAATGAGGTAGCTTCCATTTCCAGGAAAACTGAAATTCCAAATGCAGGGATCCAAGCTGAAGTTTGTGGTTTGAGTCTTCCTTCCTCCCTCATCCTGGCTCCTCCTGAAACGTCCACCACTCCGATTTGCTAGCTCCAAATCCCTCTGCAGCCGTCAAAGCCACCTGACCCCTGCCCGGCTCCCTGTGTCATGCCTGGCTGCCTCACCCTGCCTTCCCTCCTCCTCTGCAATCTGAAGCTCCAAGCCTCCTTTGGCTTTGCAAGGCGTCTGTGGGGGGAAAAGGTGGGTCTTCAGGCTGCCCTGTGCAGTCAAGCCTCGGGCTGGGGCAAAGAGCCCTCAAAGCTGGCTCAAGCACTTCCACCCCAACCCACATTCACCCCTCAATCTCATCCTCTCCTAAGAGACCCAGTGACTTTGGTTGTGTGATGCCAAACGTAAATCACCTAAGAGGCGGCACTGTCATTAACCCCAGAGACTCAGAGGCTGGGCCGAGAGGTGGGTGGGCCCATTTGTCTTCTACCTACATAATATTCGTCCCCACTGAGCATTCTAGTTTTGCCCTGACAGACAGGATCTGAACCCCAGGGCTACTCCGGACATGGGAACCCGTTCCTCTCTTGCTCTGTGGAGGGGTTGGGGTGTTAGGGGGGCTGGGGGATTGTATTTACAGGAAATAACCAAACCCCACGGCTGCTGCTTCAGTGAGAAGAGAGCTTAAGAAGCCGGCCTGGGGGGAACCCCAGCCCTTTCCTTGGGAAATGAGGTGGGAAAGGCTGGCGTTGGCACAGCAAGATCCTAGAAGCCGGGCCCTGGGCCCTGGGAGAAGGCTGTGCCCGCATCTCCTCACTGCTCTCTCTTAGTTCTGGGCAGGCTGCTTCTCAGTACTGGGGAAGCCTCTGGGTCTTGTGCCTCACAGGAAATCCAGGGAGACCCCTTCCGGGTTCTAGCGGTATCCCCATTTGGTTCCCATCATGGGCATCTTCTATTATTTTCATTCCTCCTGCCACCCTCTGGCATGGTGATCTCTCCATCACCCTACTCCTGCCTCAGTTTCCCCAGGACCCAGCCACCTCATGTCATCACAAGACCCCTTTCCCCACCCAATCTGGCCCCAAATCCTGGTCAGAGCCAGTCCAGGCAGCAGTGTGTTTTGTGGGGGTGGCTTCCTGGGAAAAAGTAAACATTCCCTAAGCTGAACAAAAGACCTGGCAAGGCCCTCCACACCTCCCTACCACAGTCAGAGGTGGTGCCCTGGGGCTTGGGGTGGCTCAGGCTGGGGGAAGGGAGGCTTTCCCTCCCAGACTTGACTTAGTTGAGGGGACTCCAGGCCCAGGAAAGGAGGGGTGGAGGAAAGAGGACCCAGGCTCTCTAGCCCAAGAACCCACAAGCCCTCAAGAGCCAGGAACCAAAGAATACTTTGCCTTTTCCTGGAAGTCTTCCCCACTTGACTCCTCACTTCTGCCTGACCTTGGCTATGCTGCTGACAGAGGCCTGAGGCAGGGACACAGGAGCCCCCACTCTGATGGAAGCCTGGCACTTTCTCCTTTACCCGGTGTTGGCTTTAGGCCTGGCTGGGGTGCCCAGGCGGGTGGGCAGGCAGCGAGCCCAAGCCTGGCCCAGTTCCTGCCTTTGTTCCTTATCTGTCCTAGACCGTGTGGCCCCTCATGCCAGACCCCCTGGCCCAACCAGGTTGGAATGAGCACCTCCCAAACACAGCAGGACTCAGGGCAGGGGGCCCTGAAGCCTGGTGTGCCAGCGGCCATATCCTTCCCACGCACTGAGGGAGTGCGAGTAACCCTCCCCGGCCGTGGTGTGTGCCAGGTCTCCCAGTTTCCGGGCTGCCCGTGGGCCTCTGGCGTCTGCAGGAGGTGCCGTCCACTCTCACCGAGGGCCACTTCACACAGATGACCTGGCTGAGCCCACCGAGCAGGGGGGAAACACAGGGCTGGCACAGCAAGTGCCAGGCTTCCAGGGGGCACCGATCAACTGGGTGCTCATTGTCTTTTCAGCCAAGGGGACTATGAGCACCCCGTCTTATTCACTGCAGCGTCCCCACTACTCAGCATAGGACCTGGCCCACAGTAAGTTCTCGAGTATCTCCTAGGCTGAAGAGACACAGAAGTGTTATGGAGGACATGAGGTCAGTGAGAGCAGGAAAGGTCATTCAGGGCAGGGCAACCTGCACAAGCAAGGCAGGAGGCCGGCGGCCAGGGGCTGGGGTGGCCCCATGCACCCTGCAGCCCCACCCAGGCTGCCACAGCAGTCAGCACTGCAGGCTGGCTGCCAGGGAGCTGGGCTTTTCGTCACTGCGGGCGTCGGCTTCAGAGCTAATTGAGAGGGAATCGACCTGACTAATGTGGGTGTCGGTGTGGACAAGGCCAGGACACCGGGGTTCTATTTCTGGCCTCTCTGCCTCCTACCTGACCTTGTTTCTGCCCTTGCCCGAGCCTCGGTTTCTCTCTCTGGAAAACAGGAACAAAAGTCTTTGCTCCTTTGCCCCTGGAGGTCCACAAAGGTTTAAAAGCTTCAAACAGCCCTTCTTACGTCTGGGCTCTCCTGCTTCCCCTCATGGGTCTCCAGGGTGGTGACAAAAATAATACCCAGAGTGCATGTCTGGGCTCCAAGTCCCAAGGGTGTGGGGGGAGGGGAGGATCTGCTCCCCCTGCTGGCACTTGGGCTTGGAAGGGGTGAGAGTGGGGATCAGGCCCCTTCCAGATCTATTCATGTGCTCTGCAGCTTTCCACAGGGAAGGGTGGAGGTTGCAGAATAAATATGTCACCTTCTCAAGCCTGGAGAGGAGTTGTACTTTTACAACACAAACCTATCAGCCCTCCTGCCCACTTCTGGATTGACATGGGAACATGGTTAGCTGTGGGCTGGGCCTTAATCAAGCCTGAGGAAGGAAAGGTCAGCCCAGCCTTTCACCCCCATATGTGTACTCGGAAATCTGCCCAGCCAGGGCTATGTTGGCCCCACCCAGGGCAGGGAGCTGGACAGAGTGATATCTGGCCAGAGGAGGGCCAAGGCTAAGAACTCAGCAGTGTTCCCAGGGGTCCCAGGACCTAGCCTGGCTGCTGCCCCTTACTTTAGGCTGAGAATTGACCCCTCTGGTCACATACACCTCCAGGGAGAGGCTAGTGAGTGAGCCACCTATATTCTCCAGGAAATGTGCCTGTGTATTCACCTGCCCGGAGGGTTGGGTGCAGAGGTGATGGATCTAGTGGACCTGCCTCTCACTCTGCAAACCCCACTCATCACTAAAACCTTCCAGTGACTTCCAAAAAAGAAAGGTCATTGGGGCCCTCAGGAGTTCGGACCTCTCACAACAGCACACACTCTGAGCCCAGGGGGCCTGCCCTTCAGTCACAGCCAGGAGAGCCTTCCCCAGCCCCTTAAGGACCCCAGGAGGTTCCTTAAGCTCTTACACAGGTCCTGCTTCTGCGGGTGCCCCAGGTCTCTGTGCCTGCCCCATTGTCCCACCTCCCCAGGGACTCTCGGGGACCAGATGCAGGGCACTGGCCAGGAAAGGCCTCCTTCCTGGACCGACAACTCCAAATTCCCCATTACCACACACAGACATACCCCGCAGACCTCAGGCCACCCAGACCCCAATTCTGTCTGGAAGGTGCCCAGACCCAAGACCCTTCCCGGAAGGTTCAGGTGGTCCAGGCTCCAGCTTTTCTCAGCAAATCCCCGCCTCCTCAACGGCCCTGCCCCCACCCCCTAGGATGACTCACTAGGCCAAACAATTTGTCCTTTCCCCCCCTGGCATCTCTTCTCTCTACTGTGCTGTGCGAACAGAGAATGGTGCTGGGGAACAAGGCAACCTCTTACCTTTGAAAGAGAGCCGAACACGGGGCGTAGCCAGGAGGTGGTCCTGGGTGGGGGTAGCTGGCCAGGCCCCAGTCAGTAGGGAAGCCCAGAGGAGGAGACCAGCGAAAGGCATTGTGGGAGGGGCCTAGGGCCCAGGAGACTGGCTCGGCTGTCTGAACACCTGGGAGGGGGAACCGAAATTAGAATGTGTGTAGCAAGGCAGGGATACCATCCTCCCAATGTTTCCTCGTATAATTCCAAGGTACCTCCAAGGTACCTCGTATAAAACCAAGGTACCTTGTTTCCCTATCTGGACTAAAAGAATGATGGGTATCTCCTTGCCCACACCCTCAGCCTGAGTCCGTGAATGCCCCAGTGGGCAAACCTCACATCTTGCCTCTGCCTGTGTCTGGGGAAATGTAACTAATGGCCTGGAACACAAGGAACTGTGTGCAAGCTCGGGTCACCAGAGCTGTCAACAGTCACTGGAGACTGACCTGCTCCCATGCATCCTGAAGCCCATTCACAGGTGTCTTAGGGCCTTCTCCAGTTCCTCACAGGTTCACTCCCATGTACCCACCTATAGCTAGATGGGCTATTCCTTCCCCTTCCCACCTTAAGATACAGGGGAAGAAGTGATCCAACCCTGCCTGCTTTAGCCAAACTTCTCCTTCCAGAACAGAACAATCTAAACCTGATTACTAGGGGGAGGGCAAGGGTGAGGGGGACAGGTGAACGAGACACCCAGAGAGCCCCAAAGTGGACAAGAGACAGTACCAGCTGGAAAAGGAGTGGCAGGGAATAGCATGCTCTACTGTTACTGAAATCACAGCAGGAGGGATCCAGGTAAGACACAGTGAAGGACTTCCCGCCAGGAAAATCACAGCCCTGAGTGCAGAGGACTAAGAAGGGGTGCAAGGAAGGCCAGTGAGCCTGTGCAGGTCTCAGGGCCCCCCTTAGTGGCCCCTGCAGAACTCCCACACCCCCAGCAGGCCCCAGTTTCCACACTATGTTTTTCAAATATTGTCTCCCCAGGCAGACTGGCTGTTGGGTAAACGAAGCTCAGCACCAGTTGCTGGAACATATTGCTCCCTCCCAGCAAAAAACAGAGCCAACTCCCTGCCCCTCCCCATTAGAGCACAGGGTGGGGGGCCACCAAGAACATCTACATTGAGTTCCATCCCCAGGCCTAACCTATCTCTTCCCTTCTCCCAATGAAGACAGGACCCCAGCCCATTGCCCAGAGGCTGGAGTGGAGGTGAGGGGGACAGTGACCCCCCTGCAGCGGCTCACATGCTGAGGCAAGGCCCAGGCTCTACATCTGAGTCGGGCTGCACAAGACAGACCCTGGCTCCAGCCCTGACCTACCTCCCACATGCCCCTTGCCTCTCTTTCCAGGACAAGCCATTCACAGTTCCTCAGACAGGAAGTGCAGCTTATGGCTTCCTGGCCTGTTCCCCATGTGGTGCCCTCGGTGGGACCACCTTGTCCTGTGCCTGACACCCTCTTGTTCCTCCAAGATCCCTCCTCACAGATGTGACTGGTTGGGGGAGGGGAAAATCAGAACCAGCTCCTTCCCTAGTCTTCTGGGCGAGTGCTGACTGAACTGAGTGAGACTCAGTGAGAGGGGCGGATGGGAGAAAGGCCTGTGCAACCACCAGCACCCCTGGGGTGCACCCAGGACCCGGGAGGCCCCCCACTACACAGTTGTGACTATGCACACGTCCACACTGCAGGCCTACACACATCCTCAAAAGCATGTTTGCTCAAGAACTTGACCTGCTAGTGGGGTGGGGCTCAAGGAAGCAGGGAGGCCAAGATACATCCCTCAAAGTTTTGATCCCATGTATCGGGGTTCAGGTTGACTTACTTCCCCCTCCCCCCCACCCTGTGACCTCATTTCTCCTGTAACCATTTTCCTGATGACAAGGTCAGCAAGGATAGTGCTGGAGTCCCCCTAGGTGTCCAGGAAGGTGGAGGACCTTGCCTTCCTGGCCCCTGCAGGGGCGGGGGGGGGGGGGGTGTCTGGTAGTGCTCTGGCTCTTTAATGGGGTGGATGGGGGATGTTCAAGTCTGTTGGAGCCTCAGGCCCAAACCCAGTTACCCTCTTTGGCAGCCTGAGGGATGGAGAAGAGAAGGCAGGAGCGCAGGGAGGGAAAGGGAGACCGTTTCTACAGTGCTTCACCTCTGCCAGCCCCTAAATACATCCCACTCAGTCCCAGCCCCAGAGAAGCCCCCAGGTAAGCCCAGGTGGGTGGACAGAGGAAGAACAGCCACCGCCACCTGGGAGCCCACCAGGAGGAGAGCAGAGAAGGAAGGGAAGAAGGCTGACGGGGAGGGAGCAAGGGAGGGAGGCAGGCGGGAGGGAGGAGGAGAGAGGGAGGAGAGAGGGAGGGACGGAGGAGAGACGCTCGAACAAAGAAACGAGCTGCTGGGGCTGGCAAGGGGTTCAGGGAAGGGGCGGCCAGTCGAGGGGGTCTGGAGGCACCTGGGGGTGGGGCAGGGGGCTAGGTGGTCCAATTGTCCAGCGTGATCCAGGCCTTCCAGGTTTGGAGTGGGGGACCGGGAGGTGAACAGCCGGCCTCAGGGAAGGGGAGGAAGGCTCCAGTGAGCTGAGAGCTGCCTAGTGGAAGGAAGGCAGGAGCGGCAGCGGGCGGGTGCTTGGGGGAACACGGGAAGAAATTAGTAACAGCACCCTACCACCCCCTTCTCAGCCCCTCAGAAACACCCCCCTCCGGTAGGGCAGGCCAGAGCGCCTTCTTAGCTCCTGGGTGTCCCCCTCCCCCAATAACCCACAGACCTGGAGGCAGAACCACCCCAGCAAGGGTAGGATTGAAACCCCCCCTTCTTGGTCAGGGGTTTCCTAGTCGCTAGGGGTTGGGTCCGTTCTGCCCCTCAAGGGAAGCCTCCCAGAGCAGAGGGGGCTGGGGCTGGTGGTGGTCTTTTCTCCCTCCAACCCCCACATTTCCGGGCCTCACTTCTTCAGAACTGAGGGGCAGCAGCGGGGGTGGGCATTCCCACTGCCCTAACCTTCCAGATCACCATACTGCACTGGTTCAAGCACCCTCCATGTGCACCTGGGATAAAGCCCCAGCTCCATCCCACCTCCTGCACTGGAATTAGCCTCCAACCCTTGAATGCAATTTCCTATCTCTGCAGCTAGGACAGGGGGCTTCTGAGGAACTATCTGAGTTCAATCAAGAGGAAGGAATCCCAACCTGACCCAGCTCCCAGGTGAACACACCACTGCTTTCAGTTGGCCTCCTCCCCCAGGTGTTCCAGGGCTGGTATTTGCAACACAGTTATGTTAAGAATTAGAAGTTATTTATCCAGCCAGGCCTCTAGTCCTCCCCGGCTCCAGCTGACCCCTCTCCTGTCAGCTCTGTCTCATTCCTCAGCCACTTGACACACTCTGGTCCCTCCTGCTCCAGGTGAGCCCTTCGGGTCCCTAGTGTCCCCTGCCCACTTGGCCACCAGCACTCCAGCCAAATGCTGGCTTAACTGCAGGCTCCTTAGAATCCCCTACACCCAACACACAGTCAAGGCAGAACTCCCCACTGGAAAAGCAAATCCAAGCTGGTAACTGGGGGTCAGGGCAGCTGGAACTGTGCTAGGGGACAAGCCTTGCCCCTGGGCTGGCCGTGCTCACGCCCTGTGGATCTGGGAGACCCTCCACGTGGGGACCACCAGTGCAGTGACTCATTGGATTAGCCCATCCAACCCTCAGATCTGGACACTGGGGCAACATAGGCGCACCTACCCCAGGTTAGAGCCCCGCCTGAGGCTTTAGTGTGAGAGAGAGCTGAGGTAGGAAAAGGGGGACAGGGAATCCTGCTCCAGGAACGTGGGGATGAGGGTGTATGGAAGCACCCACCTAATGAGAAGCTTACGGGAAAAGTTGCTTTGCACACTGGTGATCCCGCAGGCCACATCATCCACACACCCCCCTGATCGCCATGGAGCTACGGTCCGGACAGGTACCGCAACCACTCCAGTCCAGTCGCCCCTGCATCCACCGGCAGCACCCGGCCCCCCGAGCCCCGCGCCCGGGACACTTCCGCAGAGTTGCAGTGCCGCGGGTCCCAGAGGGATCGCGGGGTGGCCCGGCCGCCTGCCGCTCCCTCCCGGTTCCCGCTGCACTCACCTCTTCCGCGGCGGCGGGGCCTGGGCGCCCGGGC